AAAAAAAAAAAAAGGATCCACTGTGATATTTCCATATATGCAGACAGTGTACATTCATCATATTTATCCACCCTTCTTCCTCACTATCCACCTCACCTCCCCTGCTGACACCTTTCCCAGTCCCTAGTAATCACCATTCAACTTTCAGGTGGCCTCTTTTATTTTTTCTTCTTAAGTTTTCAAATATGAGAGAGAACACACAATACTTGTTTTTCTTGTCTAGGTTATTTAATGTGATGCCCTCCAGTTCCATCCATTCCAGTATAAATGACAGGATTTCAGTCTTCTTTATGACTGAATAATACTGTTTTGTTTATATACAGTACCATATTTTCTTTATCTATTCATCAGTTGATGTGCACCTATATGGATGCCACTATCTTAGCTATTGTGAATAGCATTACAATAAACATGAACATGCAAGTATGTCTTCTGTATGATGACTTAATTTCCTTTGGATATATAGCCAGGAGTAGAGTAGCTGAATTAAGTTCTATTTTTTTAGTTTTTTGAAAAATATCCAAACTATTTTCTACAGCAGCTATACTAATTTATATTCCCACCAACTGGGTATGAGTATTTTTTCTCCACATGCTCACCAGCATTTTTTTTTGTTTTATTGTATTTTTTAACTTTTATTTTGTATTTTTTAATAGCCATTTTAACTGGAGTAAGATGGTATACACTATAATTTTGATTTCTATTCCCTCGATGGGTAATGACATTATCAAACATTTTTCATGTAGTTATTGGCTATTTGTACTTCTTTTGTGAAGTGTCTGTTTAGATCATCTGCCCCTTTTTAACTGATTTACTTCAGTTTTTGTTATTGTTGAGTTCTTTATATATTCTGGATATTAACCATGTATCATTAATCAATATACTATCAATACTAATCAAAAAAAAGCAAAAGTAGCTATATTAATTCCAACAGAGCAGACTTCAAACTAGGGAAAGCTATCAGGGATAAATAGAGCTTTACATAATAATGAGACCGGTGCTCCAAGATGACATAACAATCCTGAATGTGTATGCACTTAACAACACAGCATAAAAATATATCCAGCAAAATCTAAGAGAAAGGGCCAGGGATTTAGCTCAGTGGCTCCACCGCCTGCCTCACAAGCACAAGGTCCTGAGTTTGATCCCCGGTACCAAAAAAAAAAAAAACAAAAAAAAATATCTAATAGAAATACAAGTAAAAAGAAATGATCCATTATTACAGTCGGAGGCTTCAACACCACTATAACAGTAGGAGACTTCAACACTCTTCTGTCAGAAATAGACAAATTTAGCAAGCAGAAAATTAGTAAGAATGAAGATGAGGTTTGTTTTATTTTGTTTTTTTGTTTTGACACAGGGTCTTGTTATGTAGTTCTGGCTGTCCTTGAACTCACTATATAGCCCAAGCTGGCCTCAAATTCACAGCAATCCTCCTGCCTCAGCCTCCCAAGTGCTGGGATTACAGACATGCACCCAGCAGGATGAAGATGAATTCAACAACACTATCAGTCAACAGAACATAATGGGCATCTATAGATTACCTCATTCAATAACCTGAAGAATACATATTCTTCTCAAGCTCACGTGGAATAGTCACCAAGATACCCCACATTCTTTTCCATAAAACAAACCTTAACAAATTTTTAAAAATAGAAATCAACAATGTCTGCTCTCAGACCACAATGGAATTAACACTGGAAACCAGTAACAAAAAAGCATCTGGAAAATCCTAAAATACTCGAAGATTAAACAACACACTTCTAAATAACACACAAGTCATAGAAGTCTCAAGAAAAATGAAAAGCACTTTGACAGAAATGAAGATGGAAATACAACTTATTACAATTTTGGAGCTGCAGCAAAAGCAGAACTCCACTGTTATATAAACAAACTTCACACTGGACCACAGCTAAACTACAGGAAATCCTGCTAAACTCCAAAAATTATGCTGGGGGATGCACACTTTAACAAACCTTGTACCTTGTATCAGGAGCTACCAAGTAGACAGTTTAGGACTGACAGTATTACATACCCTTATCTTACCAAACATCAAACCTGGACAGTAGATAAAATCCTTTCCATTCAAAGATGAGAAAAGAAAAAACTAAACCTATCAAGAGCTTCAAGAAAAAATTATGCCATAAGAGAAGTACAATGTTTCTCTGTAGAAAAGGTAACTTTGAAAATAGTTGATTACTAGAAGAAACAAAATATTTAAGAAAATGATTACTAAAGAGCAGGGCAGTAGAAGAATTTTCAATTAAAATCTGATTTCCAAGCCCTTTTCTTGAGCAGACTTCCTGTAAGAACTAGGTGCACAGAGGAAATTTAATTAAACCATGTGACCTTGGCTAAATTATTATAAAGATTAAATGCAACAATGTGCCACTCATCTAAAGAATGGTGTATTGCAAAGAATTAGTTCAGTTTAGCAGATATGTATTTGGCACTGACTTCCTATAAGGTGAAAGTGGAAACTAAGTCTTGATGTACCAAACACCTGAATAACATGAACCAAGTCATTTAATTTCTCTAAGACTCAGTTTCATCATTTGAAAAACAGAGCAAGTAAGTTACAAGAAATTCAAGGCCACCTTCAACTCTAAAATGCTTTGATTTTAGAAAAACTAATTAGAAAAGCATATTGAAATAATTTGAAGATGAAACATAAAACAAGAAGGGGATATGACTAAGATAACACCTGTCACTCCTTAAGCAAATACAACAAACAAGGTCAGAAAAGGAAGCAATGTCAATCTCCTTCTCTTTTCTCAAATGCTGACTGCTCAAGATAAAGTTTTTTACAACAGCTAATGTTGGTTTTCCAGTGAATGGTTTAAGGAACAACTTTTTAAATTCTTTGGCCAATCTACATCAACAAGTAACATAAATATGATAGGAAGACAAATAGGAGTTATTCATGGAAACATTTAAGCTAAAATTATGGAATGTTAATAATAAGTTATTATATTATGAGGTTATATTTCAAGCATAGGAAAAACTACCAATTATGTATAATTTTTTTAATTGTTACTATTCACATTTTAATATGTATATTATAGAGAAGATAAAACTAGAGAAACCATAGCTTGCATTTTGTCAGTTCACAATGAAGACAGCTCCATAGTTTAAAAGATTAAATGGGAGGTCACTTTGATTCTCTAACTGAAATATTCACAAAGCTAATGAGATGTTAGCTTTTAGTTTCGTTTTTTGTCTGAAAGACAGGCATTTAGCAAAAGGGTATAATGACTGCTTACACCATGTTCCATATATATCTCACATAAGAATCAGGCCTCAAAATAAGTGCATTTTTGTTACGTAAATACAATTTCTTGTTCTTAGATGAAAATGTAATTATTACTGTGATCCTGGACCACAGAAGTCAGTGATACTAATAAGAAAAATATATTTATTACAACAAAGTGAAATTCAAATAAAATGAAATTGAAAGATATTTAGATGTAAGTCATTAGATAAGGGAGTACATGTTAAATAAAAATTTTAAATCCTTTTAATTAATTGGGCATTAACTGGCTTTTCTTTTTCTTTTTTTTTTTTCCCATTAACTTTATTGGTACATTTTAGGTATAAAATACATTAACTGGCTTTTCATTGTGTGACACCAAGAATATTTAAGATTAAGAAAAAATAGGAGGAACATTTATGTTAAAACCATGTCAGAGCTGAGAGTGTAGCTTGGTAGAGTGCTTGCCTAACGTGTGTGAGGGCCTGGGTTCAATTCCCAGGACAAAACAAGGTCAGATAATTAAGCTAGCAACTGACTAATCACGTCCAGTTATATTGCATTCAAGGTGCAGTTCTTGTTAGCCATGAAAGGAGTTCAAAAGTTAACAGGCACGTACACACATGTACACACACACACACACACACACACTATGACAACTCAGGCTAGTAACATTCAGTTTGCCTCACCCAAGATACAAGTGTAGGCATGTACTGAGAGTTGTAATTGATATGAGGCAATAAAACATTATTTATGAAGAATGAACTATGAAAAAAGTAAAAACACCCAAAATAGTTCACAACAAAGTATCTAAAGAATTTGGTAACGGATTTATTTTGTTCTATTGTGGTTTTTTATTTTTGTTTTTAGTTTTTTTGCTATATATAGCAGGATTTTTATACCACACCCAAAACAAAAAAGTTTTACGTTATCAGCCAAACATTTCAAAAGATCACATTACAAATTCATATATTTTCTATCCCTTTCTTTTTTGTTTGTTTTATGCAGGTTATATCCTACTAAATTGTTATTTCACTACCTACCAAAGGATCTTAACCTGCAGTTTGATAACCATTTTTGGCATACATAGACTGTTAAATTTAATCCTTGAGTCAAGTTCTAAATTAGGAGCATCCAAGATTTCAGTTTAGGGGGCCGGGTATTTAGCTCAGTGTTTTCGCCGCCTGCTGCGCAAGGTCAAGGACCCGAGTTCCATCCCCGGTACCAAAAAAAAAAAGATTTCAGTTATAAAAAGTCAAGTTTCCAGAACTAAAGAAAAAACAATCTGTGCAACAGGGAGGATTTTTGAAGATAGGAACTGGACATATCCAATGGAAAATGCCTTACTCTCATCTTTCTATTTGTGAACCTAAACAAAAACTATAAATAAGGCCAATAAGTTAGCATGTTAGCATTCTCACAGTGATTTTTTTTTTTTTTGGTACCAGGGATCGAACTTGGGTCCTTGAGCTTGTGCAGCAGGCAGCAAAA